GAGAGAGAGAGAGAGAGATAGAGGAAGCGAGAGAGGAGAGATAGAGGAAGTGAGAGAGAGATAGAGAGACAGAGATAATCTCTACACCCAGTTTAATAACGTGTTTCCAAAAAGAAAGTCGCAATTTTGATCTCTAATGGTTTTTTACCTTAATCTCAAAATCACTTTTTCGATAAATAAACTATTTCGGTATTAAAAAATAATTGAAATCATTCTAATAATCAATAATTCAATTATATTAAAGAATTTTTCTATTTTGAAGCTATTTTGAAAAAGATATTGTAGATTGAAATTCGATTTTGAGTTAAGATTGAGGTGAAAATTTATTAGGAGTTAAAATAATGATATTTTTTTGGAAACACGTTATTAAACAATTCAGAAAATCAAACAATCAAACAATCAAATCACTCATTTCAATTCATTTCAATTCAATTCAAATCAATCCATTTGAATTCATTACATTTTAGCTTCTTCTTTTTTCTTTTCTCTCCTATACCTACCTATACAAGTACTCAGTATACTCGAGTAGGTAATATCTAAGTATCAACATAAGCATAAATAACCACAGTAAAAGAAAGTAGAGGGAATGAACTTCCACTCACCAATTTTTACATTCATATTCATTCCTCACACCTACTCGAGTATTTCAATTCATCAAATCTGTAATTTCTGCTAATCTCTGCAGACTCTCTTTCTTTTCTACAGTAGTATCTCCCCTCCTCCCCCTCTAACTCCACATCCACATCCACATCCACATCCACATCCCCTTATCCCCACGCTCCAATCCTTCCCCCCCATCCCCCCTCTAGAACACCCATTCCATCCCATCCCACCTCATCCCACACAACCACAACCACAGCCACAAACCCAACCAAAGCCCAAAGCCATCATAGCATAGCACAGCACATCATCCCCCCCCCCCTCCCCCCCCATTGCCCATTTCCCTACCAATTTCACTTCTTCGGATGCCTCACAAACCCCATCATCCTATATTTCGTAACCGGTTCCTCATCCGCCACCATTTCAATCGGTCTAGAATCGCCCGGTAATTCATTTATCGCGCCCGACATAAACGGATTACTGGCTGCTGCGGCACCGGTACCTGCTTCGGATTTATGTAGGACGGGTGTTGTGGACATGTTTGCGTCGCCCTGTTTTGCGTGTGAGTGTTAGTATTGGTTTTATTCCTATTCGAGAAAGGGGAGAAAAGGAAGAGATGTTGGATTAGAGAGGCGAAGAGTCGGTTGGCGAGTACGAGTATATCGAGAAAAAAGGGGTATGAAAATACTCACCACAGTCAATGGAATCTTCCTAATGACCCCCCTTTCCGCCTTGGAAGGATCAATCCACGCCATAACAATCGCGGCCTCCTCATCCGGCAACGACATAAACGTCATGGCGAAAAAATCAGATTTAATTGTCAGTTCCCTGGAAACGGCAATTTTCCTAATATCCAGCGGATTCGAATTAAGCGCCGAAATCAAATACAAATGGCCCTTTTCATTAACCATAGCGAGTTCTTTGCCCGACGGCGAAAAGCTCGCACATTGAATACGACTCCCCAGTTTTCCCGAGCGATTCGGTTCCGTTCTGATATCAGTTTTCTGACCTGTTTTAGGATGGACGAGGACTGGAACTCCGGATTGTGTCCAGGTGGTTACGCACACGAGAACTTCTTCGATGCCAGTTCTGGAGCGAAAGATGGCTGATGATAGGCCGCGATCTTCGGATTCGTGTAGAGGGACGTGGTAGCGACAGGAGACAAGTTCTTGAGATGCTTGCATGGGGGTCATCCAGAAGTATATTTGGATGGCGCCACTTTTGGCGCTGCGGGTGCTGGCGAGGAGATGCATGCCGTCGTCGGAATAGGAGAGGGTATCGACTTCGGGACAGTCTTCGCATTCTTTGTGGATTCGGCTGTGGAGACGGTCTTCCCTGGGTTCTGCCGAACAGGTGGTTTTGAAAAAGTAAACGGTTGCGTTGTTGAATCCTACGGCAACAGTAGTCTCGTTGGGAGATATGGCTATACTGCTGGCCCAGAGATTTGGTGGTAGGGGGTATTCCACGATGGGTGCGGAGGTCTGGAGATTTACTATTCTAAGCTATTTGACGATTAGTAAGAGAGAAATGATCAAACACTTGGTTACTCGGAATCACTTACTGTGAGTTTTGGATCTCGTGTGCCAATGATATAAGCTAAATACATTTTTGTTACAGTTGCCTTGTAGCAACTACTCTCCGTTGGAAATACACGTGTCATTGCAGGAGGAGATGCTCCAACATCCCATATTTGTATTAGAGATTGAGTCCAGAATAGACCATTTGTTGAATTTTGTGATAGGGATATATTGATTGCTTTGGCGGTTTTGCTCTTTGAGGATGTCTTCCTCGGCACCCGTACCAAATTTTCTAAATTTATTTCGTCCAGTCTTTGAGCCTCCAATGCTGATGAGGATACTGAAGTGGTTTCCACGGACTGCCCGGGCATAGACTCTTTCCTCGTTCCGGTGAACACAGATGTCCATTTGGATCCACCCTTCGACTTTTTCTTATCGGAATGACTATGTCCCATTGTAGGCCTATTCGTAAAATAAGCTCCAGATTCGGGAGCCATCCCAGAAGGAGTTTGTTCATTGGGCGAAGCACTTCCTTGGGCCGAGACATAATCTGGATAAAATGGCGTTTCGTCTGTGGCAGTCGAAGTCTTTCGAAGTTCTGGCATTCTCGAGACTTCGCCCGACCTCGAACTTTCAGAAGGAGTCATGTCAAAAGATGAAGAGGGTAGAGTGTTGGGCGTATCTAGTCTTTGGCCGAAGGTGCCAATGGTTGGTGATACTTGGGATGGTAAATTATGAGGTAGAGATCTAGAGCGATCTTGGGCAGCTGCAGATGTAAAAGATGTCTTATTGTGAAATGGTGAAGGCGGTTCAGTATCATATGTACGCATCTTAGGATTGCTTGCACTAGAATTACTGTATGCCGTTGCATGGAAAGGAATGCCTCCATCCATCTTTGGTGGTGGAAGCTGGAAGTATGTGGGAACATGTCGTTCCAGATTTACTGCATCTGCATGAGATTCAAAGGGTTCAAGGAGGTCCCAAACTTGCCTTGCAAGTGTCATCTCACGCATTAATGTAACTGGTTCCTCACATTGAACGCACTTTGTTTTTGAAGGTAATCTAACCTCATTAGTTTCTGGGTTGTCCAACTGAGTATATAGATCATCGTCAGCATGCTATTCCGCCGGCGTCAGTCATGTTCAGATTATATTCCTTGAATTCCCATGCATAACCATGCAGCAAGTTGACATTTTAGTGAAATACTTGGCGTACCGGAAACTTGAGATTCTCTAGGTATCTCATTTGCGAGGCACCAGCCAAATGGCACTTGGAACAATTGAGTGTATATATTCTCGGTCGTGATGGTTTAGTATTGCGAGTTGGGTCATCAAGGGCCATAATTCTTTTCGTAATTTCAGATATTGTATGCATCATCTCCCTATCACTCACACGACTTATCATTTGGCGATCACTGAGTCGTAGACACAGTGCATCTATTGCATCCAATTCCTGATCATCTATCTGTATTTGCATCGATTGTCTTCTCAAATCTGGCGTATCTGGAAGGACAATTCGATATTGATCAGTGAAGGTACCAAGCAAATCATCTTTAGAGAATCGTGGTGGTATTCGCATGTTCTCAATTGCTCTTAAAACCGCATTCCTCGTTCGTTCTGATGCCGCTGAAAGATATGCATCGCGAGTTTCTCCATTTATTGTATATTGAATTGAAGCCGCAACCACGAATTGTGTGATATCTCGTAGGGCGAGGAACTGTGCGAGCCATCCTGCTCCCCCTTCTCCTCTTTCTCCTCCTCCTCCTCCTCCTCCTCCTCCTCCTCCTCCTCTTCCTCCTCTCCCTCCTGAACCATCTGGGGGTATGAGAGTAGATATATATTTAGTTGAAAAGCAATCATTCAATGGGTACTGTCCATCAAAAGAAGTTGTCAGCTTAGATTTCGATTAAAATGTTCTAGAAGCTTAAGCCCCATAATTATAGTGTTCCTTACCAATTCTTCTGCCAAATTTGGTAATTCGTCCCTTAATTTAGGGGGTAGAGCTAGTGGGTTAGGCTCGGAACCCCGCAATGACTCAGTTATTTCTTTGCAAACCAACAACAAAAATGATTTAGGTCCTGGATAACTATCATACATATCCTCGAGTGAACGATGAATACGTGCGAATCTATCCCGACGATTCTTTCTCTGCAGGTCGATTATAGATTGCGATTGAGGTTTGCTATCGGATTGTGATTGTGATTGTGATTGTGGTTGTGGTTGTGGTAGAAGAATAAGGACACGAAGAGCAGACATTAACAACTCTGCCAAATACTTGTCCCTCAACGGTCGCGACTCCCACAGACTTTCTCGACCTTCGATAACGATCTGCAAAACAAATTCGATTGTTCGCAAAATGACCTCCCAACTGGCCAGAAATCCGAAATACCATCCATCATGTTGAAGCTTTGCGGATGGTACGGATAGACGTTGAATATAAAAAATGGCATTCAGTTGAGCAAACAGGGTTATGACCAGATGTTGATAGGTTTCTTTATCGCCATCAGAATATACTTTTTCGAGAGAAAACTGCCCCACCAGTTCCAATATGATATTATCGACGTCGCTGCGCAGGGACAATACTTTCCAAATGTTTGCTAGACGTGTAAATTGTGGTGATGCGGCCGAGGCTGGAGTCGGCATGATGTGATGTTAGCATGAGCTCTCAATCTAGCTTCAATACCCTCAAAGTAGTCTAGTCGCCACGTGGGCCAACTCCCTAGGTTTGGTTCCGCAATAATGATAAGCTTTGCGAGTATATCATGAGTATGATGGGGTTGTCAAAATGGACCATGAAGGGCGAAGATCATCATCAAATCGATCGTATCGTATTGGGCCTTTTTCCTGACGACCGCAACCGCGACCGTTTACGGTAATGGCTAGGGTACCATGAGGGATGAAATGGGTGTGGCCCCGTTGTCACTTCAAGAGAATGTTCAAGCAAGATCTTTGGATATGATTCTTTTAGGGTACTCCCTTTTTACTTGATCCAATCTGGAAGGTCATCCAATCTCAGCTACGGGTACAAACCGTTTCGTCTATTCGCATCTCTGTTATACCATTGGACCATTTACTATCTGGCCACCCGGAGGGCTGAAAACCTCAACCGGTATCAGGGTTTATCATATGCAATGTAACCCAGTCAAAGGATCAATGGTTCGAATAAAAGTTGAGAGCCCACAAGGATAGCACAGACTTGGATCTTCTTGTGGAAATACCAGGCGAAATAACAGCTTTAGAAATTAGCCTGACTTTAAGGTTAAGTTGAGATTGATTGTTATTCTAGAACTTTGTTTTCATAACTACTCTAGTCGAAGATTTCAGGTTCTCTCTCTGTTTGAGGTTCATATCGATATTTGGTAACAATCTTGCAGGAACATGTTATCACGAGGTTGAAATAAGGTCGTACCCAAAGAATCGGCAGATGCGGGGGTCCCTGTAAGTAGGCATCAGCTCTGTGCGATTATAATATGTGGTTACATTAGACCTTCCGCCCGTACAGGGTTTGATAATGCGGAGGATTGACTGCATTAAGGCAGTGCAGATATATATGCTTCTGAGCGACCCTCATTCTTTTAACCTTCTTTTGCGCGAATTGCCATGATATTTTCGACACAAAATTAAGACCTCATATATTGCGAATATGGATCATGAAAAACCTCAGGCGGTGATTCCCCCACAAATATTCGAATTCGATATCAATCAAAGTCGGGCGAGTCCAGATGTAGAGCCCGATTACCCTGAAGACCGTCGGGAACGCCGAGGAGAGAGTTTGTGGTACGCAAATTTGTGCTATTCGATGCTTACGACCACTAATCGTAATTAGGAGAACACTTGGCGAAAGGCACATTAACGTGAGTTGCGAGATCACGAAGGGGCTTGATATTGGCAGAGACAATGGCTAACGACGTATATCGCTTGCTAGATGATAGCATTTTCTGGGTACGTTTCTCGAACTTAAAGCTCAGCCAGGCATATGAATAACGGAATATGGCGATAGGACAATCGGCAATGGGCTTTTTCTTGGGAGTGGCAGATCGTTGGCTGGAGCTGGACCGGGCGGCGCAGTTATGGCATACATTATCATGGGTACGGTGGTTTCGTCTGTCATATCCTGCTTGGGGGAGATGACTGCTCTTATGCCTGTAAATGCACCGGTAGTAGAGTTCCCTCGGAGATTCTTGGATCGTGGTGTTGGTTTTGCTGTTGGGTGGATGTATTGGTGAGCCAACGTCAACCATTCTTCAATCCGAGCAAGTGATCTAATATCTTGAAGGTTTGCATGGGCTGTCACCGCCGCAGAGGAATTAGTTGCTGTTTCCGGACTTCTTGGTTTTCATTATGATGATGGAAGAACTTCCCTAGTATGGAAGATTGGTGAAAGTGTCGACACTGCTGTTTGGATTGGATTATTCCTCATAATCGTCACTGCTATCAACATGTTTCCTGTCAGAGTGAGTTCTCGCCAGAACTCGGTATTCACTATTGATATTCACAACAATCATAGTACTTTGGAGAACTTGAATATGCCTTTGGTTGCATAAAGATCATCTTTATTACAATGCTTATCGTGTTGATGCTCGTTCTTGATACCATGCAGCGTAAGTTTCGTTCTTCCCCTTGACTTCAGAACGCTAACCAAACTATAGCACGCCCCAATGCGTATTACACATCAGCTCCAAACTCTAAATGTGGGTGCCCTATACCTTGAACATTCTATATGGACATGCTAAATCCTTTTGTTTAGATTGGAACTCTCCATGGGGATTCTTTAATCACGTCTATTCTGTCCGCGATGAAGGGGGAAACCTACAACGAAAAATTCATGGCTCCAATGGTTCATTTCTTGGGATGTGGTATGTTAAACTTCTGCCAATCACCTTTGCAATACTAACCATTGTCGCAGGACAACGATTATCAATGTTATTTTCTCATATACTGGAATGGACATCGTAGCTGCAACAGCCGCAGAATCCAAATCGCTTGCTAACGCTGAAAGTATGAAAATGGCCGCAAGGAAAATATCAATCCGGATCGTGACTCTTTACACTATGGCCATGATCACAGCATCTTTCGTAGTACCATACACCCATCCTTTCATCAATGGAAAGGGTCAATCGGTTGGTGCACATTCTATCTTCGTTATCGCCGTCGTCGAAGCAGGCCTGCCAGCCATGGCTCATTTCTTCAACGCCATTTTCGCTTTTGCATCGTTTACTTGCGCCATCAATTCAATGTATGTGGCTTCAAGGGTTTTACATACTTTGGCATTGCAAGACCAAGCTGGACCAGAATTTATTGCGAGAAGATTGAGGCAAACTAGATCGGGTGTTCCAATTAAAGCGGTGTTGGCAACGGCTGCTATGGCCCTCGTGGCTTTTATGGGCAGGACTGGAACAACCGCAGTTGTGAGTACCTCAACGGTTCTCGTATCGTAAACATTCAACAGCTAATTAAAGAACAGCGTTTAACAGAATTGGCATCCAATTGCACATCATCGATTTTGATCGTCTACGCCACTATTTGCGCTACCTATCTCGGATTTTTCCGAACGTATGTCTCAACTTTGCTTTTTTCTCTTGAATCTCCCAACCGTTGTTGTTTCATAAATTTTCATCCACTAACGCCACACATAACAGACTGGAGGATACTAAACTTTATGGACAAGCATCGGAAAGACAAGCTGCCCACTATGATCGCGATCATCCACGCTACCCCTATAAATCGCACGGTCAATGGTTAAAAGGTTTCTACGGGATGACTGCATGTATCATCCTCGTTACTTTCAACGGTGTTGGAGCATTTCTCGAAAGGCCTTTTGATCTTCGAAGGTTCATTGCAAGTTATATATCTGTATGTCTATATTTCCCTTTCCTTTTCCATTCTTCTTCCTCTTCTCTTCCTCTGCCATCTCCAATCATATCTTTGGTATCTTACATTAAACAAATCATCTAACATAAAAATAAAAATAAAACAGATCCCAGTCTTCGTCCTCCTAATTATCGGCTATAAACTCAATAAACATGGACTGAGAGTGAAGAATTGGGGACCAGAGAGATCGAATGATTTGCGGAATACGATTCAGGCGGCGTCGGAGAAGAGGAAGGGTCGTTTGGAGTTTCAGGATGAGGGGTTGAGTGGGGGGAATTTGAGGGCGTGGGGGCATTGGTTGTGGGTTTGGACGAGATAGAGGGGAGGGGAGGGGAAGGGGAAGGGGGGTGTTGTGTTGATGGATGGAATTGTGGGTTGTGTATTGGTACTGGGTTTGGGAGGGCGGAGAGGGGGGAGTGGTTGATATTGGATGGGATGGGATGAGATGGTATGGTATAGTATAGGATGGTGTTTTAGGGTTAGGCTTGGATGCCATAGTAGCTAGGATTGGGAAGGATTGGGAAGGAATATGGGATATTGGATACAGGATGTTGGAAGGAAATACAACAAAAACGGCTCTGGTATGCTATCTAGGCGTCTTAGTGAACTAATATTACAAATGGGCTCTCGATGGAGGTATAATATGATATGATATGATATGACCGGATACTGGCAGTCAGTATAGGAAGAATACTAGTATCTAAAATGAAATAAAAGTTACGATAATTATAATTTAAGCGAAGGAATACTTGAGTAATAGCTACTAACTAGGGAAATTAATTCAAAATCTTGATGTTGTTATTTACTCGAGGAAATAATATATAATACTTTATAATTATAACTAATACTTATAATTTCATTAACAAATAGTACTATTAGTATTTGTTATCTTTTTAAATAAGCTAACGTGGTTTATCAGTGCGTCGCGCATATCAGTGCCTCGCGCACTTTTTCACTACTCAATCATTTCAAAATATTATTCAATAATCACAATATATAAAATTAATTGAAACTATTCAGAATCTGATAAACTAGAGTCTTCTAAATCCTCCTGACAAGTTCGTATATTATGACTAGTTTTACCACAAGAGCTACAACGATATAAAGTTGATTGTTCCCCATTTGAACTATTTCTCTTAAAGTATTCATCGTGTTGAATCTGATTATCTATATTAGTCTGTAATATAATATCACATCCATTTTGTATACTAAGTGTTTCTCCTTGATGAATTCGACTCTTTTTAGCTCTACAACGTTTATTCAATGCCTCATTTGCCTTTTGAAGAGTACAAATCTCAGCACTCATAAGTATCATCTCATGAGCTAATATCTCTGTACCCTTAGCTAAAGCTGTAACTGTTTCAAATATAGGTATAGGAGAGCTTCCTTGATATTATGCAATTCGATTTTTAACTAAGGTTGATTGCGAAAGAGCATTGTTCAAGTTGTGAGGTGTTTGAGAAACCCAAGGATCGAGCTCTACAGAGGAAGATCTGGTAGGCGTAGGTGTTCGTAATTTGATATCTAGCTTAGAAATAACAG